TTAGTATTAATTCATTATTGTGCTGCCTCAATTCGGAAAATACACTTTGATTTTTGACAAAATTTACAGAGGCATTATCAGTGCAGAAAGCTGACATATAAATCATTGATAACCTTGAATCAGCTAATTTACCATTATGTGGTTAGCTACATCGTTAAATTTTTCACTATCCGAGGAAAATTTTTTTAACGTTTTATTGAAATGTTCTTATTCTTGTAAACATTTCCTTTATTAGATGCATCTGTAAGAATTGCATATGGATGCCCATCTTTCAAATCGTCTAGAATTGACCTCTAGGATTCAGATGCTAAAACACTTGTGATAGCCTTGCTCATTTTTGTTCTACCACAAGTAAGATTTGCACTTATATTGGAGTCGTTAAATATCATGGGAAAGATTCGACCCACATTGTGATGATATAGCTCTGTGAATGTTGAACTACATGATAGTTGTATACGATTTCCGCAACTGTAGTTGCATCTGTATTATTTATTATTTTTAGAGAATATTTTTGTATTGCAATCGATGTTGATATACTCCCCTGTACTGACTTATATGAATAAAATGATGCTGATTATTATTTTATAAAAATAAAACAGGATAGAAAGAAATTTACAAACTGGACATGTTTTTCAAATAAATATTTAAAATTTATTTTAAAAATATAAAAATAATCAATTACTGTCTCTCAAAATTATTATTTATATATTAAAAACGTTAAAATACTTTTAAAAAAATTGTGGGAGAAATTAAAAAATTGCGGGAAATTTCCAATTGTGGTAGTTTTGCGGGAGAGAGATGTCTGCGTGTAAACTAAAAAATTGCGGGAGTCTCCCGCTGATGGGGGAGACATGGCAACCCTGATCGAGTAGCTGATTTGAAATGTGAAATTAAAGATCTACATTGTAAATGCGTGCAATCAATTTATTAGACAGGCCATATTTTGGCTATTGATGATTCTGATCCATACATTGATGAACATTTTAATATCTGTGAGGCTGATAATATAAATCGCATTGCACCAACAGATATAATTAATACGAAAAGCTTAAAAATTTAATTGATATACCCGCTAGCAGAGCTTATTGATTATGATAGAAAGTATCCGTATTCGTTGTTAATAAAATTTCTATAAATAATATACTAAATAAATTAGGAAAACAATTCTTAAAACATTTAATAACGATGGGATATAATTGATAAACTTTAAACATTGAATCCATTCAGAGAGTCAGTGGAATTTCTTTCCTCCCAAAATAATTGTGACATATATATTTATATTTAGAAATAAATGTCAAGATATATATTTATATTTAGAAATAAATGTCAAGATGGTTTTATTTCCATTTGTCTTCAATATTTTTGTAAATTAATTGAGATTCTCTAAACTAATTTTAATTATGTATAGAAAAAGACATTTCAGATATAGATAAGAAAAGCTTTGAAATGATTAATCTAAAAAATGAATATGAAATGTTTCTCATATTAAAATTTGCTAAAAAAAGTATTAGAATCTACAAGTGTATATATTACATGTGCACATCAGAAGCTCAAAGAATTTACAAAAATATTAAAATCAAACCATCTTGACATTTATTCTAAATATAGATATGCCAAATGCTTAAAATTATTTTAAAATATGTTTGTTTAATGAAAACAACTGGTGTTCTTGATTTTTTTGTTTTATAAAGGATTTCTTCCACCATACCTTAACTTTTCTATCAAAAAGCTATCCTACATGCTATTAAATTAACTAATCTTTCTTACTAATTCAATCCTTTTTATTAATCGAAATAGAATAACATGTAAACTGCATATATGAAAACGTATTTAGAAAAAAAATAAATTAAAATAAAATTTTATAAAAAATAGTCATCCTCTTCTGGTCCATAAATCTGTAAATAATTAAAAATTATAACGTAATATTTGGAAACGGATTTATTATTTAATCAGAAGGGCTCATTGTTGTTTTACGGCTCTCATGGCTAATTAGTTTGATTAAGGATTTAGCCTCCTTTCCAAATGAGCAGTTTGTTGAAACCACAAGTAAATATATTGTTGCTGACTAGCTGTAAATATTTTTGGAATTTCTTTTTTACCGCTATACCTAATGGATCGTAATTATTATTTGATGGGGGGAAAATGTCTATACACGTGAAGTCCCAATGGGCCATTCCTGTCAAATCGATTAAAAAAGGCACTTTTTCGGCCGACCCCTTTTAAAATGTTTAAAAATTCTGGAATTATTTAGATAGGTAAATAAATGAGAAAGCCGTTTATTTTAGCTCTCTAGCACACCTTGTTCTTGAGATATAAGGGCTCTAAGGTACAAAAAAGAGCCACTATGGAATCTGTAAAATTTTTAAAATGCTTTTATCTCAAAAACTATTTATAGTAAAAAAATATCATTTTGAAGGTAAAGAAATTCTCTAATGGGCTAACAAAGAATAATAAATATTGAGGCCATTATAGACTTTTAATATCCGGTTTACCTAAATTGCGTTACCTGTATTTTTAAGCAAAATAGTGAGTTGAATTTTTTTTTTGCTTTTTATTTAGACATCTTTTATAAATATATATACGATGTCAAAACCTTAGCGACGCTATCGACTTTTCCATAATATACATTAAAAGTAGATGGCGCTAATGGTTGAAAAATATTATTTTTAAATGAAAATATTGATACGTTTATAAGAATTGTGATAAAATTTTCCAGTTCTGCCCTCCCCCCCCTCACTATCATTAAAATGTTTTACATTTTTTAGATCTCAACTTTTCTACTATAGCAGCGAATGACTTATTAGCTCGATAATATATAACAGCTGCAGTAAAAATATTAGGCATATATTAGATTATATTTTACAAAATAAATTGTTTAAAACGATCTCTCTTTCTGAGAAATAATTTTAACCTGTCCGTTCAGATTAATTTTATAGTTTGTCTACCAATAACAATCTGGATTTGGAGAATGCAAAAACATGTATTCTAGGTGTAAATCAATTAAAATTTTATTCTATATCACAGATGGACGTACCAAATATTAAAATGTTGCAACCCATTTAATCTATAGAGACATGCTTATTATCGCGAGAATCTAAAAAATATTCTACCCTGGATGACCCAAAAAAATTTACCATTCAATTTAGATATGTTAATATGCTCTTCATGGCGACAAAAATTATCAAACATTTCTTATACTTCAAATGAAAATGTAGATATTGATTCTCCCCTTCATATAATTAATCAAGAGGCTATTGATAACATTAATATATCCCTACAATCAAATGGGGAATATCTCATTAAAAGAAAACGCTTATGTGAAAAGAAATATTAGAAGAAAAAAATATCTAGAGTAAAAAAAAGTTTTAACGACTGAAATTATACCATTATCTTTCTTCATCAAATGATGAAAAATTCGATGAAATTGTAGATACCTTAAAAATTAAAAAAATTATATGTAAGATATTTATTATTGGAAATTTGTTCCATTATTAAGTGTCTAATGGGCATATGCCCACTCTGCTCCTTAGTTAATTAGTATATTTAATAGAAAATCAAAATTTTTTAATATAAAAAGTGAAAATATCTGGTTATTGATAAGTTAGCAGCAAAATTTTAACCATAATCCGTAATTTCATAAAGCGCCATCTATTTTTTTGTCAATTTTTAGGGTCGATAGCGTCGCTAAGGTTTTGATATTGTATATATATTTAGCAAAGGTGTCTAAATAAAAAAAAATTCGAAAACAAACTCATTATTTTGCTTAAAAATACAGGTAAAGCAATTTAGGCAAACCGGATGTTAAAAGCCTATAATGGCGCCAATATTTATTATTCTTTGTTAGCCCATTAGAGAATTTCTTTACCTACAAAATGATATATTATAATATTTTTTTACTATAAATATTTTTTGAGATATAAGCATTTTAAAAATTTTACAGATTCCAAAGTGGCTCTTTTTTGTACCTTTGAGCCCCTATATCTCGAGAACCAGGCGTGTTAGCGAGCTAAAATAAACGGCTTTCTCACTCTTTTACCTATCTAAATAATTCCAGAAATTTTTAACAATTTTAAAAGGGGTCGGCCGAATCGTGATCGATTTGACGTGGAATGGCCCCAATACATGTGTTTCCCTATACCGGAGATTTAATGTAAGCCCATTAGGCCTTAGTTATTAACAACAGAAGTATCCCGTGGTTAAAGATGTGAAGGAACATCGGTTTTGAATAATGAATTATTTTACTATTTCATGCCTCATATATTTATATCGGTTCACGGTACTAGCGGTTAAAAACAATGATTCAGATCCCGTTGGTACATTTTTTAAAAATTTGTAATTATTATGTGATTTTGTGTAACTGGACCAACTTTAAATTCAAGAATATCCTCTATGTCCTTCCAATTAAAATTAATAAAATTTCGGAATTATAATATTTATCGGACGTACATGCCCAGAAGCTCCGAAATGAAAAGCATGACTTAAAAAATTCAGGCCAGACCTAAAAATTTCTTAAAAAAATTAAAAATCCAAACCAGATCGATTTTTAAAATTATATCCATTAATCCAGAAGAAAATCTTATAAGGGAGGGTTAAATGATAATTACTGGTCATATTTATCAATTTCCTCCTTCAGATAATTTGCAAAAATCAAAATGATACAAAATAACGAAAATTTTTTAAGAGTATATTGTCGTACCCATGAGAACAAAAATAATTTGCCCAGTACATCTTACAAATATTTATTAACAGCAGAACAGCACTTCAAAAAAAAGTCGATTGGACTTTAAACATCGCGAGATATCCTAAAAATTGAATCAAGGGATATTTAGGTGTAAATGGCCAAGTGTAATTATACCAACTGTATAAGTATAAATATTTAAAAAAATATAAATTTCCTAAAAATAATTTTCTTAAATTTCATCATTTAATCAAATATTGTTTTTTTTGTTGGATTTATTGGCATTGATTGTCAACTCCAATATATGTAAAATAGGATTTACCTAAATCAGTTTTACCAGTGGTAAATTCCTGCGGCTTTGAATAATCGAATGGAACGGCATCCAACAGAGCTTTAATTATTCTTTAAAGGTTTAAAGTTTTAAGGTTTATTAATTTTTTCTCCAAAAATATTAAATGTGATATTTTTCCGACCCGACATTACTAAAACCGATCCGATAACTCGTGCCTGTCATCCTGTGAATGCAAATCAAGCAGGAGCACGTGGGTTTATTCCCATGCATAATTATTTATTCTACTCCTATTTTCCTTTAATTTATATTTTTATGATCTACTATTTTTCTCACTGTTGTAATTTTTTCATTAGGAATCTTAATTTATTTTTTTAAATAAACTTGACATATAGCTTGCGGTCCGCCACATCCCCACACGTCATTTTGCGAGTGTAGACCGCAACAAGGGCTAAAAACTCACGGGGTTCTGATCGATAGCATAAGGCTTTTAAAAGGCCAACAGCGTTGTCCGTTAGTGTACGCGTATTATCCGATTTCGTGCTCTCACCGCTTCGCGTTATCAGAAAACGATCTGCAATGATTTTACAAAGTTTACGAGTTTTGACAGATATTTTGGAAATCTGGTCAGGTTGGTAATAGCTTACTAAAACATCCGACAACTGTTTAAGGGCTCGAGCGCGGTTACGAATCTTTTGTTGAAGCACAAGGTGAATATAAAAAAATTCAATAAAGGTTTCAAATTTTCTTTACTTTCTTTTAATTTTCCCCTTCTTTTTATATTAAATATTTTTGGAAAGGTAGATCTCATCATGGAGTCTTACATTTGTGTATAAAAAAAATATCGCAATAGTCATATAGGAACCTGAATGTGTCGAATATTGCTAAAAAAATCTTTCTCTGCATCAGGGTCAATTAAAAGAGCGAAAAATGAAAACGCATGATCTTCTGGGTATGTTTTGACAAGCGATTCGAGCAACAAAACGAAATTTTCAAATATATTCTGAAGGTTATTTATTTTTAGTATTTATTTAAATTATTTCATTTTGAAAAATAATATTATTTAGTAATTTGTTTTTCGAAAGCACAACTGAAACCATTCGATAATGGTAGGGGTTGATAAATAAAAATGAGTTTTAAAAACAAACAAATCATTTATTAGTATTAAAATATTGAAAAACATGTAGTTCAATTCTTTGAATAATAAATTTGAAAAAAAACTTTTTTGTTCTCGATAAATTTCTGTTTTGTTTTTTCTAAAGTACGTTATTTAACTTAACTTCAAATATAGATAAAAGTAACACAATTTTTTTAAATCTATTTTTTTTTAAATGTCAAAAATAAGACAATTTTTTATATACCTTCAAACAGGATCGAACAGAAACTAATATCGGTTTAGTTCAGGTTTAAAATTTTTTTTTTAAAAACCAGTTTGAACCTTTTCGCATACAAATTTATATGTAAAGAGAAGCATATTTTTAAGAATTTTATCACTCTTCCTTAAAAAATAATATTGAGACGTGTACTATTAAAATATTTTCAAGATTCTCTTCCAAATTATTTCTATGAGGAGGGAATAAACTCTATGGTTGAAACACTACTATAAGCTAACTTGTAAAGCTGGCACTGTCAAATAACAATATTCAAAAGTATCTAGATATAGTAATTTATATTAATATTTATCAATCAAGACTGATTATTAATAATCTTTAAGAGTTAGAATATCAAAAAGATTAAACCGTTTCACAAACCTTTTCAGATCTGGGTTCGGGTGACAAAATCATTAACGGTTCGAGTTTGGTTCTGTAAGTAATAAAAGTTAATATCGGGTTAACGGTTTGATTCAGGTTCGGACCCTAAAATGTAAAATCATTTAATTGTAGAATAAACATTGCCAATCTCTGTCACCTGTTACACTAGCTCATTATATAAATATTACATGAGAAAATATTTTTGCAAATATTTCAAAAAAAGACATTATAAACTCTTTATATATCATATATAAATTTATAGTTTACATCATTGAGCGATTTTAGATTAGCGGCAATAAGGGGTACCAAAGCCTTCTTGACTTTCTCGCGAATTGCTTCCGCACCAGAGATTTTTATAAGGGCATACATGAGATTACGGCATTCATCGCGGAGAACCGCGTCGGGTCTAGCAGACGAGAGTTCGCGACAGCAGGTGTTCACGAGAACGAGGCGTATCCAAGCAGCAAATAGGGTGACGGGTGGGGTAAGATCAGGAAGAGCTGAGTGGAAGTAGGAAATGGAGGCAGATCGGATATCATAATTAGGTCGGTCTTGGGGCAGGCCACGTGAGCAGTCAAAGGCATTTAGCTTTCAGGATTAGGTTTAATGTTAGACATTAAAAAAGGTATTTAACCACTTTTTATAAGAAAATCTAAAATGAAACTATGCATTATAGTTATCCCAAATAAATAGTCTTTATTGATTTTAGTGTTATAAAATTAGGTTTAATGATATGGTCGAGAAAAAATATAGATAATATTTCCAATAAAATTTAAGACAAAAGTGAATAATGTGTACTGATAGAATTTTTTAAAAAAGGTTATATATATTAGATATATCAGCGTTCTGTGTTTATACGATTATTTTCTAATGTTTGACGTACTTTAACTAGTTGGTCTAATAGAACTGAAAATTTTGGATGTAAATCTTTAATAATGCTAGATATATCGGTCATTAAATTGTTGAGATGGATAAGGGATTCCATGGTTCGTAAACGGTAATAGAGCTGCGGTACATTTCTTTGAATTTAATTGTGGAAAAGGGGGAAAAAAGATTACATGAGGGGAGTTAATTATAGAAATTAACAGGATATATTATAATAGTATTCATGTATATAGCCAAGATATGTTTAATTCTGTGGAAATTATTTTAGGAACTATATCATTTTTATCCCATTCCAAATACATATTTAAGAGGATAATAACCTAGAATCTTGTATTAAAAATTTGATAATAAATATGAATATGCAAATAACACATTAGTATTTTAAATTTAATTAAAATCAACCCTATTGACGATCTCATCCTGTTTTATCAAGAATTTTTTATTATTATTCATTAATCATTAAGATTAAATTATCAAAAACATTCAATTTAAAACGTTTATAAAATTGGTCCAAAAGAGAGATAAAAAATTTGTCTCAGTTTAAAATAATTAATCAAAAACAAATATAGGTTTGTTTTATATTTAAATATAGAAGAATATGAAAAAGGTTTAATATATTAGCTTTTATTACGCAAATAAGGTTTCAAATAGTTCGACATCTTCCCCAGCGCCGGTTGTGAATATAGATAAAACTGGTCCGCTAACTACGAGAGCCCTTACCGCGCTTAGCGTTTCAATTGTTTCAACTTCGGAGATTCCTGCGCGGTTCAGCGCTAATGCCAAGAGACACCCTGCAAGACGTATGCGGTCAAGACTCGTCTCAGCAAAAAGAGAAGGAGATAATTGCGTAACGCGGACTGAAGCGAGACGGACGGCAGAAATCTCGGCTAGCGTTAAAGGGCATTTGGCGATCATCGCGGAGAGGTCAATTTTTGAAGCGGCATAACGTGTGACGGCGTCAGCGTAATGCGAATGCAGAGCGGATAGCGGGGCTGAGCATTGTGGCGTAAATTTTTTTTATTAGAGATTTCTATATTTATTGACAAGAAAATTTTTTAAAAGTAGTGAGCCTACCCCCTTCCTCTAAACGAGCAATTATTCAAAAACTAGAACGGAACTTGGGAAAAATTATGAAACGAGAACCAAACGGTCATTTCTAGAACAATTTCGAAAAATTCAATATATAATTATAAATATCATATTTATAAAATAGTTCATTCATAAATATTCATTCCGCTTTCTTCTAAATATGATTTCCAGGTTCCAAAAACAAATTTTTAAATCCAATTTAAAGTAATTTTGAAATTTTTGAATAAAACGAATATTATATTAAAGTTTTAAATCTTAAAAGTTAATTTTGTCACCCATATAAATGATAATATTTTAGATGAGTTAATGTTTGGGTGTAATAAATAATTGATAATATAATAAAAATTAATAGATACAATTTATGTATTAATAAAAATAGATATGAAATTGAATATTTTTTTTAATAACACGTTCCGGAACATTCAGAAGCTTGAAACGGAATGGGAACAAAACATATTTGAACGGAATGAGAGTGGGACAGGAACGCTAAAATGTTTTTGTTCCAGGTCCCTGTTTGAGACTACAAAAGATACCAATTTATTTTTGTACTGAAAAATATCGTAATTATCAAAAACTTATTTTTCATTTCTTTCTATAACCTCGAAACCCATAACTTACATTCAAATTGATCGCTGGCAAGGGCAGAATTCACGATTTCCAAAACTGTTTCTTTGACTTGTGTGTGACAATTTTTGACAGACAATGTGTTTATAACATAATGTCCTAATGTTTTGGCCGGGTCATTAGGGTTAGTTTGGATCATAAAATGAGCGGTTCTAAAAAAAATATAAAGCCATATTAAATAAATGGAACATAAGAATTTCATAATTGAAACGACAGGTTGTAAAACTGAAAATAGGATCGTTAAAAGTTCCTTTTTTAAATAAATGCTAAGATAAATCCAAATTTCAATCGTATAGCAAATATATTAGTTTACTCCCATTAAGCAAAAAAAATGCATATTTTAACGATTTTAATATTTTAGGTGTTAAATGGCATTCAAAACTTGTAAAATATCTCTTTTTTATAGTTAACTAAGATTAATATAATTAAATAAATCCTCATAAAAAGAAAGAACAATATAAGAGATTTGGTAATAAAAATTTGCTAATGTTTTTATAATAAACTTTTTTTGAGAACTCCAGTAGGAAATGATTTTTAGAAGCATAGACGCACCCGATTTGCATTCTACCTCAAATTTTTCGACCTTGATGAGTTTCGAAAGATTTTATAAACAAAAAATTACAAAATTTAATAAAAATTATGTACAAATAAAATAACTATATATGCTTTTATTTCTTTCTACTTATGATTAGGTATATGAAAATAATCACCAAAAATTTTTTCAAGTGACCTAAAATCAATGTCCTTAAAAAAATCTTAACTTAACTGTTATGCTGTACAATTCATCGTCATTTGATCGGTTCTACTACTTTGTGAGAAACATTTTTGGTGTAACCTCAAATTTTACAAACAAACAATAAGATTATCTTGCATAATTTGAGTGATTTTGATTACAAATGGTGATCAGTCAATTTAAACGAGTTGTACTGCATAATATCAAAATGTCGTATGTAAAAATTTACGTTTCCCCAAACTATAGTCCTGAATAAAATATCTTCTTCAGCAGTGTCCAGTGTATACGTGTCGTTGAAGGCGGTAAAATACTAAAGGCAAATTTTCGTGTCAAAATTATAGATAAAATATTTTTTTCAATCATTGAAAAACTTTAATTAGTTCGATTATTTTCTAATGTCTCCAAAACCCGATTCTAATAATATCTTCTCATGAAACATCGAATAAAATTTTACAATAAAAAACAATTATAATGTATAAGAGCTTCCAAATTACACGTTTTTTTGTATTATGTTTACTAAAAAAATAGGTGAAAAATGTTTTTAAAGTACTAATGCAAAACCTTGTAAACAACGCCAAAACACTCCTTCTTTACAATTTTGTAATGCGCTTCGGTAGAATGATGATCAATAGCTTTCATCCCTTTGACAAGTGCGGAGATGTACATTATAATTTTGAACATGTAGGAGGCCTTGAAAGAGAGACGAGAACCCATCTGAGCCAAGCAGTTGCTGATAAAGCCTAGTAGGCTGATAGATTTCGTTTGTGAAAATATTTTTTTAATGAATAATTAAATCAAATTTTTACCTAGGCTCAATTTAGCGAAAAAAAAGTGATTTTAGAGTGATTATAATATATATAATTATCATATTCGTGTGGTAAACATTGAGCAAGAATAAAGTTGTTATTTTACCCTTGTAAGCGTCTGATATCGAATTTAGGATTCATTTCAGCTGAAAGAGCATCCAAAACTAAGAAAAATATATCAAATTAGAAAAATAAATAAAGGAAATCAAATATTTAAATCCCGAAACTCTTAACAATGAAAGCTTTTAAAACCAGGAGAATTTAAATAAATCATTTTTCCTTCTCTTGAATTGACTCTTTAAACAACCACATCTAAATAACATGAAAATTAAAATCTAATTGAGTAGTTGGTATTATATTCTCTAACCAGTCTGTGCGTCCACGATCATACCGTGAAAGAGTGGATGCAATGCCAGATTCAAAAAGTAGTCTATCTCTTCGTTTTCGCAATTCATAAGGAAACGAATTATCGAACGTCGGAGACCAGTCATGACCTTAGCCTTGGCTTTAGTCATTTTAACTTGCATTTTACCGAACAATAGTCTATTATTTTTTTTGAGTAATTTTTTTTTGACAATTTAAAGATAGAAAAATGATTTACAAATGATTTTTTAATAGAATATATTTTACGGGGATAGGGGTAGGTGGGAGTTACTATTAAGAATAATATTTTAACACTATATATAATTTCGACCAAAACTCTATTGTATACAATGATTAGACAACAAAACGAAATATTAAATTTCATTATGAAAATATGTTGAAATCGAATAACCTCATAATAAAACGCATGACATCTTTCCTATGAATGGTTTGTATGACGTGAGACTCTTTATTCGTGCTATAAAAAATTTTTTTTAATCAGATTCAAAAAATATAATTTATACTATATATGTAGGTAAAAAAAAAATTGGCCACTGAATAATTTTAATGTTAATTAATTCTTTAAATCGGCCATTGATATACTTCTGTCAAATCCACTTTTATTTTTATAATGGGTAAGTAATTTATATAATATTCGGAATTTAAAGCTGGCCTTTAACCAGGCATCGTCTCAGGAATATAGGAACCACAATTGTAAGCTCTATACAAGGTTATTAGAAAGAATTATAGAGCTATCATCTAAAAACTAATATGTATTCCCCTTTTAAAAAGTTGAATCTATGACTTGAATCTATTTTAAATGTTTAATCGCTCTAATTATTCTTATATTATTATAAGTAAATATATTTAATTGTGTAAAATATGAATAGTGTCCTTAAGGAAATTTACAAATGTTTTGAGCTTCGAATAAATTATATTCCTGATTTTTTTGAGGGGATACTAATAATTTAATACTTAAAATTTATCCATAAAAAAATTAGGATCAATCTACCAAGTTACATTTGGCTTAAATTGATTACTTTTGATATGCTAAATCTTATCACATATAAATAAAAATAATATCGGGTTTTTTTAACGAAAAAAAATTGTGGTTTTACTTGAAAAGAACGAGTTCTGACTTGAAAGAGATGTCGTTAATAAGCCTCTCTAGATTTTCTCTGCAATAGGGGAAAATAAAGTTAGGAAATTTTTAGGTGTAAAAAAGAAAACGTAAATTTTAGAATATCTAAATCTAACATCGTTTGTGAACAAGATTGATTCTAGATTTTTAAAAATAAGGATGATTCTAAAAGCGAGTGGTGAGATATAATTTTAAGGTTTAAATGCACTTGTAAGGCAGGAGGTATGGTAATTTCAAAGTCTCTAAACATGACAAGGCTTGCCCCTGGATTTCGCTATTAGAATGAGTCAATAACTAAAAAAAATAATATTTTAAAAAGCGCCATATTGTGAAAAAAATTACAAATTATGTTGACCAATTCGACTATTTTTTAAAAAATTACATCTTAGTCCGATCTGAAAAAAAAATAAAAAGTGAAAAAGTACGATTTTTTTTTGAAGGAAGGCGTAAAAGGGAAAAATTGATTTTAAAAAAATTGGTGTTTGAAAAGAATATATTTGTAAGAGGTGATAAGGAAAACAATATAATTTATTAAAATCGAGGTCCGGCAGGAACGAGTGCAGGAGAACGTCCACCCGATTCGAGTTCGGTTGGACGTGTCCGTGCAGAGCTCTAATTTTGTAGCAAATTAACTATATAGAGTAAAGGAGATCAACAAAATTATTCTTACCGTTTCGAATATATTTTTCATTTCTTGGTACTTATAAAGTCCCTTGGGGTTTTTGAATGCTTGAAATATGTTCAGATAATGCCTCAACGTCCTGAAAAAATAAAAACAATACTTTGAAAATATTTAAGATAAATGACCTTGAAAGCGCGATTACTTGTATTTTAAATTCAAATAATTTTTATATTGTGTATCGTTTCTTTTATCATAATTTTAAATGCAATCACTGAAACCTAACCCGATCCCTTTTTTTTTGGTCGAAGGTTTCAAATCCCAAAAATAAAATCTATTTAGTTTTAAATATTTACATTTGTGATTCGTGTTAAGTATATTATTCTTATTTAACAAATTCTGTCCATTATTAGGTGTTTAAAGAAATATGGAAATGGTTAGAGATTGATTAGTAAAATATACAACTTTGTTTTTTTTAGATGGAATAACTAGATTATAAAGCTAAAATTTCATTTATCTTATGTATTAAATAGTTAAACTAATATCCTTCTTGGCAAATTGATATAAGTGTTATAAATTTGTGATTAAGCTAGGTGCACTTAAAGTTGAATTCGTAGTGAGCGCAATCGCAATTTTTGCGGGCGAAATTTCAGCAATGTATCAGCTGATAGGTCGCATAGTGCAAATTTAACATCTGGTAATTGTAAGCGATTTTAATAATATTTCATTATAACGGTTTCCATCAAATTATTATTTTTATACAAAATAATGAAGAGAATATTAAATAATGTTAATAAAAGGAGGGAAGGTGAATTTTACATCCTCTTTCCTAAACTCTTAAAAAATAAGGTTAAATTTTACAATTGTATGAGAATGACAAATGTAATTATTTATTCTATTTTATCTTTAATTCTATTTATTATAGTAAACTTTTTATTATATAATAAAACATATAAAATCAGTTTACACAACAGTCAAATTTTATTAAATATAACCATAGAAGAAAAGTGAATGGTTAGTCAATAATTTATTAAATAAATAAATTTTTTATTTAGGTATTTAGCCACTAGCTGTAACTATCCTAGCTTAGCCTATTCCTTTAAATGGGGATCAACAATCCAAAAATTTATTAGGACCATACCTAGCTATATGGCAAACTTTATTAAGCATTAATATGTCACCACTACTCTCACTGACTTTGAAAGAATAGGAAAGAATATTGAAAGGAAGTGGAATTTATCTAATTGTGTGGGTAGCCCTTTATTTATACAATAATCTTATATTATAAAAATATATTTTATTTTCTATAAATAAAATTTTATATTTTTATTTTTTTAAAAATTGTTTATACATTTTATAATGATATTTTTTACTAAATATTTCTAAATAATTTGTTGACAGAATAAACCCATATTTATTTTAAAAATATTTTTTCATTATAATAAATTCTACCTTATTTTGTATATTATACATGTTGTATTCCATATCAAATCAACTGAAGATTCAACCCGACCCTCTTCGATTTTTTTTAAAATTTGCATGATGGTAGTATATATGTCGTAATTTTTAAAGGGATAATGACTATCCGGGATCTTCACGGGATTTAAAGGGATCCCTTTAAAATTTCAATTTTTTAAAGGATAAAGAACTATACGGTATTATCACTGGGGCAGAGATTGACCTCCAGTTGAATAAATCTTTTGATTAGCTATCGAATGATACCCTATACTAGACAAATCTTATATCATAAGTCAAAAAAAACAAAATTGAAAATTAAAAACGCAACGAAACTCGTGGAAAACGCTTTTAAAATAAGATTCCTCTATCACGATTAAAACGTGATAATCCATCCCGTATTATCATTCCTTAATTATCAACCCTAATTTTTTAGTTATCCCTTTAAATCCCGTGAAGATCCCGGATAGTCATGATCCCTTTAAAAATTACGACATATACACTAACTAGCAATAATATAAAATTTTAATTCTCAACTCAGCTTACTTCATGAGATAAGGCCATCTTTAGAAACGCGAAAAGTTCAAAATACACCATATTTAATTTTAAATATCTCAAAAAGTAATTAAGCTAAAGATATAATATAAACTTTATTAAATAACTCTAGAATAGCCCTTTAATATGATATAAAATTTATTAAATTAAAAATAATTTTATTACCAAAAACCGAAAATAGAAAACCGGAAATTGTTATAAAATAAAAATTGCCCTTTTTTTTCCTTCAAAATTTTTTATCAAATAGACATTATATATCTTAATATTTGTACAAAATCCTAGATTGGGACCATTACTGGGCCAATAGTTATTACGCTTTAAATATAAATAGTATGGCTTAAATTCTATATTATACGAAATTAGTAAATATTTTTTTAACAAAAGTGATAATATTTGTGAATAATAGTATTAAAACTGAAATCCGAACCCCATCTTAAGATTTATATTCGCCCCCCCCCCCCAAAAAAAAATTTCTTCTTAAATTCGAGATTTTTGACCTGGCAATTCTATGAGTGAATTATGTAGATTATTTTCTTTGCCGGATAAAAAATTATCTTTGTGATGGTCAGAAATATATTTTCATAAAGATTATTTTCTACTTATAATTAATTATCAAATAAAATAATTATCATAAAAATCAAATTCAATTCCAACAGCAACAGCCGTCATTTATTAATTTTATAAAGCCATTTTTCTAAGAAAATTAAATTATCGGTATTCATTATCCAATTTATTTTTAATTTAAAATAATTATATAAAATTAATAGCTATCTTTTATTCCTTACCAAAAAAATTTAAATGTCGAGAAAAGATATTTCTATTCCAGTAAAGTGCTGTAATCCCTTTAGAATAAAATCTCATTCAGTACGTTACGATCTTAGAAATGTTTTACAATGGATGATAGAAGTGAATTCTAGCTTATCAATTAATCAAAAAATTTGTAGCTCTTGCCGGAAAAGATTAAAAAAATATTCAACAAATCTGATCTCACATTTTACTTCTACGATCCCGATCACATTACCTTCTATTTCTAACTTACCGTCTACCTCAACTATTAATGAAACATTTAGCGATTCTGAACCTGATCAACCATGCAATCCCGACTCTTATACAGATTTTAATACTTCAATTTTACTTTAAATGAAACTTTGCCATTTTTAGGGGAGACACCTATTATAAAGAAAAGGTTAAATGAAAAAAAATATCCTGTAAATTAATTTTTGAAAATTCAGGGAAAAATTAAAAAAGTTTTTAAAATAAATCTAGAGGATCAAGCAAAAAAAGATGAAGCCGAAATCATAAATCAACTGAAAGAAAAATTTGCTACAAGTTCTCGCAATGAAAAAATACAAATTTTAAAAGTTTTACCAAAATCTTGGACTCTTGATAAAATTGAAAAGAATTTTCAACCACAAATTTTATGGCCCGGACAGCTAAACAATTAATTGAAGAAATAGGTGTTTTGTCAAACCCAAATATCATAAAACCAAGTAGAATAATTCCGGATGACATTGCAAATAAAGTAATAGAATTTTATAATTCTGACGAAAAGAGCAGACTTATGCCAGGTATGAATAATTTTATATCAATGAAAGTTAATGGAAAAAATGAAAGTCAAACGTTATTCTAATTCATTAGATAATTTGATGTATGATATTATTTAATTTAATATGTTTATAACAATATTAATTTTCCATTTGATATTCATGTAATATAAATAATTAGCTAAATAAAGTTATAAATATTTTTACAATTATTTTCTCTCTGAAATAAAATCGCTAAACTTATATGTTAAATATGACATAATGTCTATTAGTGGGCTCACAGCCCGAAACATTTATAAAAAAATATAATATGCCCGATCATAAAGGAATTTTCTTTTTATTTGTTTCGTAAATTACTATATATTTGGTATAATTTAGGATTTGAGCCATACTATTTATATTTAAAGCGTAATAACTATTGGCCCAATAATGGTCCAAATCTAAAATTTTGTACAAATATTAAGAAGTATAATGTCTATTTGTAAAAAAAATTTGAAAGAAAAAAAAAGAGAATTTTTATTTTATAGCTATTTCCGGTTTTTGGTAATAGACTTTTTATTAATAAAATAATTTTTATATCATATTAAAGGGCTATTTTAGAGCTATTTAATAAAATTTAAATCATGCCTTCAGCTTAATTACTTTTTGAGATATTTAAAATTAAATATACTGTATTTTGGAATTTTCGCGTTTCTAAAGATGGCCATATCTCATGAAGTAAGCCGATTTGAAAAGTAAAATTTTATATTTTTATTAGTTAGTGTATATACTACCAACATACAAATTTTTAAAAAAATTGAAGGGGGTCGGGTTGAGAATCGACTTTTTTTGGTTGATTTAATATGGGATACAACATATATTTTTATGATTTCTAAAAATTCCTAAATTAAGATACTATTTGCTATATTTTTATATAAAATTAATACTATATAATTTTTTTAGTGACATTCTTACATATATATTTTATGAGTTTAGACTATAAAAGGTAAATTTATTTTTATTAAATATCACTCAAATTATAACAATTTAAAAAAAATATATATGTTGTATTCCATATTAAATCAACCAAAAAAGTCAATTCTCAACCCGACCCCCTTCGATTTTTTTAAAAATTTGTATGTTGGTAGTATATACACCAGGGTTGTGTTTGACCGGTCAAATACAATTCGGTCAATTAACCGATATTTGACCGGTCAAATATGGTCAAATTCAAATAAATGTTTTTTACACCAATATTAACTTTATTTTGCATTTATATAATATTATAATATATCTATGTATAATAATAAATATCATAATATTTTTTAATTCATTCTATAGTCAATGTTTCACCCTCCGTGGCAGAGTCTTGTTCCGATTCATATTCAATATCATTATTTTCTTTAATATTTTTAATCAATCTTAAATTATGATACACTCTTACTAATTTTCCTGCTGTAGAAGCCTTTAATCTATTTCTGTTTTTCGTGTGAATATTTCCCCAAACCGACCAATTTCTTTCAGAAGAAGTCGAACTAGGAAATGTTAATAAAATATTAGCGACTTCTCTTAATGGGCAAGGTGGGCAAAATGCATTCCACCAACTTGA